CCCCAGCCAGTTTTTCTTCCTGTGGCTTAGGCTCTTACTTGACTCTCCAAGAATGGAGGCTTCTAATCTCATAGCTGGGCTCCTTCCCACACTGTGCACACCTCATAGCATTTGGTGACACAGCCTGAACTGTGCTTTAGACAACTGGTTAGTAGCACTGCCCTCTCTTTGGGTAGGAGGTCTTAGGCTGTATGACCTTGATGGCACAGATTCTGCAGGTACCTGGAACCAATAAACCTGTTTCTGAGAAAGGCATTGGGTCCCAGATCTAAAGACTCATGCTGCCACAGAAAGAGTACTGGACATACCCAAGCTGTCTCCAAGAAGCTGGCCCTATAAGTATGTCACTTTCTTGGTTGTAGGAGACACGACTAGGGAAGCTCATCAATGACGTCCGCAAGAAAACCAAGAATGAGGAGCTGGCGAAGCGAGCTAAGAGGCTGCTGCGGAGCTGGCAGAAGCTCATCGAGCCTGTACACCAAAACGAAGTGGCACTACGAGCACTGGCAGGGGCTGCAGCAGGCTCTGCCAATGGAGGTGCACACAACTGCCGGCCAGAGCTGGGAGTGGCTGGCGCACCCAAGAGCATCCATGACCTGAAGAATCGCAACGACATCCACAGGCTCCCTGGGCAGCGGCCAGATAAGTTGGGCAGCCGTAAGCGCAGAGGGGACCAGCGTGACCTGGGCCACCCAGGGCCACCCCACAAAGTTTCCAAAGGCAGTCCTGACCCCCTGGTCCCCAATGCATCCCCTCTCCCCACCAATGGGATCAGCGGGAGCCCAGACAGCTTACCCAGCCCCCTTGATGGCAGTGGACACTTGGGCCCTGATGGCAGCCGCCTGGAGCCCAGTGAGAACGAGAAGCACAGCACCAAGATCCCTGTGAACGCCGTGCGGCCGCGCCCCAGCTCCCCTGGCTTGGGCAAGCCCCCTATTCCCTGTCTGCAGACCAAGGCTGCACAGCTGCAGCAGTTGGACAGGGCAGATGAGCCCCCAGGCCTTCCCTATCCCAGGGGGTCCTCTCGCTGCTCCTTCAGCCCCCGGAACTCACGGCATGAAGGCTCCTTTGCCCGGCATCGGAGCTCGTACATGCCCAAGGGCCCAGTGTCCAGCCCCTCCTCACGGCCCCAGCCACTGGACACTACACAGGTACCATCCCCACTCCCACTGGCCCAGCCGCCCACGCCCCCTGTGCGCCGGCTGGAGCTGCTGCCTAATGCTGAGAGCCCTGTGCACTGGCCGGAGCAGCCCGAGAGCCACCCGCGGCTAATGGGGCCAGCCTGCAGGGCTGGATTGTCTCCAGATTCCTCCAAGGCGGACAGTGATGCTGCCTCTTCTGGTGGCTCGGACAGCAAAAAGAAAAAGAGGTACCGACCTCGAGACTACACAGTGAACTTGGACGGGCAGGTGGCTGAGGCCGGCGTCAAGCCTGTGCGGTTAAAAGAGCGGAAGCTCACCTTTGACCCCATGACAAGACAGATCAGGCCTCTTACCCAGAAAGAGCCGGTGCGGGCTGACAGCCCAGTACCCACAGAGCAGCTGCCTAGGACAGAGCTGGAGCAGCAGGAGGCCAAGGCCAGTCTCCAGAGCCCCTTTGAGCAGACGAACTGGAAGGAGCTGTCGCGTAATGAGATCATACAGTCCTACCTGAGCCGCCAGAGCAGCCTGCTGTCATCCTCAGGTGCACAGACCCCAGGTGCGCACCACTTTATGGCTGAGTACCTGAAGCAGGAGGAGAGCAGTCGGCAAGGGGCCCGGCAGCCCCATGTGCTGCTGCCGCTGCCCACGCCCACTGACCTACCAGGGCTCACGAGGGAGGTCACACAGGATGATCTGGACAGAATCCAGGCCCAGCAGTGGCCGGGGGTTAATGGGTGTGAAGACACACAGGGTAATTGGTATGACTGGACGCAGTGTATATCGCTCGATCCTCATGGCGACGATGGGCGCTTGAACATTCTGCCTTATGTCTGCTTGGACTGAGCACCTGACCTGGCCATCATGTGCATTCCCACCTCTCAAGGGTTAGGCTGGCCAGCCGGGAAGGTGAGCATGAGGCTCGCTCTCCACCCTCCTTTTGTGAAATGCTGCTACCAGTTTACTAACACTTGCAAAGGAAGGGCCGCTCGGGGGAGGGGCGGATGGATGGCTGAGAGAGTCTACAACTCTACAGTAAGCCAGCTATAAAGCGTTAGTCCCCATCCCAGAAGAGGTGCAGAGCCACTCTAAGCACCAAGGGCAGGGGCCTCAGTGGCAGGCAGGCACCCTGTGGAAGAAGTTACCTTAACAGCAACAGACGCACATCTCTTCTCTACATCTCTTGCTCTTTGGTCCTGGTGTCTCTGAGGCACAGGCCACTCTCAAGCCAGTGGGTTTTTTTTTTTTTTTTGGGCCCCCCTCGTGTTGTGCGCTGGAAGCTTCTCTGCTGTGGTGAACCCTGTCGTTGTGTGAGTGGGCCAGCCTCACCCACACTTCAGTCATCTGCCCATTTGTATATGGTTTCAATTCAGTCCCAGTTCTTAAAGAAATGCTGCAGAAACTTCAGTTTTCTTGTTTATTTCATCCTATTTTCCCCCCTACCACCAGCCAAATGACTTTTCCTTCCCTTTTTTTTCTGCACAACTCTAGAAAAATGCCATCTTTCTAGAGTCTTTAACCCCACAAAGTTCCCGAGGGTGCTACTGGTGTGAATTGCCCTACTGGGCTAGGGGAGAGCCGTCTGTTCGCTGGAAACACTCATAACCATTCCTTTAGATTCGTTTGCCTTATGGTTGTCATAAACGCGATTTGCAAAAACAAGGAGCCTTAGTGAATGTACAGTACCTAGACTTCTGTGTTCTTCACGCAGAAGGAGCAACTTTGCTATTTGGTCCAGTAAGTGGACAACTTGTGATATAAATGTGGAAATAAAAAAATATTTGCACAAACCAGTTCTGGAATCATTTCTCATTTGCACATATGTAGCTAAATCTAGAGTCCACCAGGGGGAACTTCCTGGAGTCCACAGCCATACCTACTGGGCCAGCCTTGGTGACATCCCTTTAGCTTTACTTTGAAACGGTAGGCAGGGCCTCTATCTGCTTTTCATTGATTCATGGACAACCACATTTCCTTGGTCACCCACCTAGAGGAGCCCTGCTACAGGTAGTGTGGCTCCTCCTAGTGACGTGGTGTACGCCTTCCTTCCCTGCCCACCAGTGCTCTGCTGACACTGCATGGCCCAGTGTACAGAACTATTTTCTGTCCCCAGCCTGGGCTAGCAGCTGCAGGCAGGCCCAAGGCTGCCTCCATACCTGACAGGTGTCCACTAAGATGTCACCTCTGTTACTGTTAATGATCTAGTTTTTCCCCCCAACTAATAAGCCAAGATTAGGTTTCTTAGTATTTTTTCACCATCATCCATATCTGCTTAATTTCACAGTGAGTTAACAGTAACTTATAAAACAGCAGCTTCATGGTTTGTCTTAGAACATACCTTCTGGTCTGGTTGGTACCACAGCCAACCCAGAATCCTTTTCAGAGCCAGTAGGAATTTCTGAGGTTTGTTGCAGAATGGCCCCACACCCATTACAGGGCCATTTGAGGAGGTGAAACCCCAGCTGGGTGGCCCTGAGCCAGTGTTCACTCCTGAGCACATGTACCTGTTGTGAAATGAAAAGGCTTGCACAGAGTTGCCAGGGCAAAATCCAGTAAGAGATAAAAGCAACCAAAACACATCAGTTCGGCCATCTGACACTGCTCTGTCCAAAGATCCTAATTCCTCTTGTATCTAGTTTATGACAAAGGGCTGTGTACCAAGTTGGAGGGCCTTAGGGTATAGAGCTAGGTGTCCTATCATCGGATTTTTAGACCAGGCCATTTACTATTCAGAGTCCAACCCCAGGGACTGCCACACCTCTGCTGAGTATCCAGCAAACCCCAGGGCACACAGCCGACCTTCAAGAACGACCTTCAAGAACGGGTGAGTAGCTCGGCATGGTGCTCAGGAGGCGGAGGCAGGCAAATCTGAGTTCGAGGCCACCCTAATCTACAAATCCAGTCCAGGACAGCCAGAGATCTGTTACACAGAGAAATCTTACCTCGAAAAAAACAAAACACGGGTGAGGTAGAAAGACACTCTAGCATTCAAGGAGACACTGTAAAGGAGAATACTGAGGTCGGCAAGATGGCTTAGCAGATAAACGCTTGCAGCCACCGCCAGTTTAGTTCCCTAGATGCACATGATAGAAAGGAGACAACAGACTCAGGTCGTCTGACCTCCAAATGTGTACACACACTCGTGGCCGCCTCCATAAATGAATACATTATTTTAAGGAACGCGAACAACTCTTCTCCCACAAACACTCAAAAGCACACGATCTTCGGAATCGAGTTTTGTAGTCTAGGATCACGGTGCTGAAGTCTTTTCCTGCCTCTGTGTTTTTGCCAGCTGCCGGGTCAGCAGAGCTCTTAAGACACTGTCCCAGGAGGCGGCTAGCCCCGAGTTTCTCTCCGTTGGTCTGTGAGGGAAAGGTGACACCTACCGCACAGCTTCCGAGGACCCGGCGTCGTCCAGAGGGTTTACCACAATCAGTTTTTTTCTTCTAAAAGATCTTAGTCCTGTCTGCGTCCCAGGCACGCCGCTTCCACAGCCTCAAGTGGGCGGGCCCGCGTCGCCCAGCACCTTTCACGGAATCCCGCCAGTCACAGGAGAGAACCGAGAGAGCGGAACGCGCTCAGCGCACGCGCGCGACCCACAGCTCGTCCTTCGGGCTCGGCCACGCCCCCTTCCGGAAGTCGTTCGAGTGAGGGTGGGGCCCTTGCCGAAGACTTGGGTGTGGGCGCGTCGGCGGGCGCGCGACGACGACGCACGGGGCGTTGGCCAATGGCGAGCGGCGATGACGCACAGGGCCAGCGGCCAATGGTGAGCGGCGTCTGCCGGCGCGCCTGTCCGGGCTGTCCCACCCCCGGCCCGCGTCCGGCGGTCGTCCGGCGGGAAGGGGCGGCCGCTCAAGCAGGATGGCGGCGGCGGCGGCAGCCCCGGGTCCCGGCGCAGGCGCGGGGGTCCCGGGCGCGGGTGGCGGCGGGGCGCGCGAGGGCGCGCGGGTGGCGGCGCTGTGTCTACTATGGTACGCGCTGAGCGCGGGCGGTAACGTGGTCAATAAGGTGATTCTGAGCGCCTTCCCGTTCCCGGTCACCGTGTCGCTGTGCCACATCCTAGCGCTGTGCGCGGGGCTGCCGCCACTGCTGCGCGCCTGGCGCGTGCCGCCCGCGCCGCCCGTGTCGGGCCCCGGACCCGGCCCGCATCCGGCGTCTGGCCCGCTGCTGCCGCCGCGCTTCTATCCGCGTTACGTGCTGCCGCTTGCCTTTGGCAAGTACTTCGCGTCGGTGTCGGCGCACGTCAGCATCTGGAAGGTGCCGGTCTCCTATGCGCACACCGGTAGGTGCTGACGCTGGCTGTGCGCGCTGTCTGGGGCTTCGAAGTATGAGTAGGAGTGCGCGGACCGTCTGACTGAGAGGCCGCCAAGGCGCGGCGGATTTTCTTGTTGGAAAAGGTCTGAGGAGTTTACCGGGCGCCTGGCAGAATTGACTCCAGCTATTGGGATCGGGAGGAAGCCTTACAGAAAGAAGGTCCGGGGTCGGGTGTGCAGGTTGCCGGGACTGCCCACTGAGTGCCTTTCCTCTCTTTGCAGTCAAGGCCACGATGCCCATCTGGGTGGTCCTCCTGTCCCGGATCATCATGAAGGAGAAACAGAGCACCAAGGTAACCCTGGCAGAAGCCCTGGGCTAGGCGGGATTCCCAGTAACTGGCCAGGTTGATGACGTGGTTGGACCGTGGCATGCTCTGGCTTCCTGTCAAATAAGGAAGTCAAGGTGTCAGCCTCCTGTGACTTCAACTAGCTCCCGCACTCACCTTTCAGACAGCAGGTGTATGTGTGAAGGGGAGATATCACCACCTAATCTCTCGCTTGTTTTCCCTGAGCACCACATCCCTCTGGGGTCCACTATTCTTTTCTGTTTTGATTCCCTCCTCTGGGATTGCTGGTAGGTGATGTCTGTTTGGTTCCATTTTAGCAAGTCACCAACAAACAAATTAAGTTGAGACAAGTTTTCCTTTTATATTATTTTTATGTTTATTTATGTGTGTATGTTGTTCCTTGCCATGTGTATGGAAGTCAGAGGACAGTTCTCACCGTGTGGATACCTGGGATCAGATTCAAGGTGTCAGGCGTGGCCATGACAACCTTACCTGTTGAACTATCATGTCCTAGTCTCCCCATCACCAGAAAGGTGATCTGGATCTGATGTGAGATGCTGGGCCATGGCAGAAGCTAGCCAGTTTGTAGAAACTAAAACTTTACAAAGCCTGTCATGGTGCCATGGGTCTGTCATTTTAGCACTGAGAGGCAGAGGCAGGAGGATGAGGAGTTCTAGGCCAGCCTGATTACAGAGTTGGACATGGTGGCACACACCTTTAACACAGCACTCTGGAGGCAGAAGCAGGAGGATCTCTGAGTTGGAGGCCAGCCTGGTCTACATGTTGAGTTCCAGGACTCCATCTCAAAATGAATTCATTAATTAATAGGAAGAAAAGAGCAAAAGAAAAGAGTTGTGGTCCAGTGTGGAGCCCTAGCTAAGAACTCAGAGGCCCAGGCTTCAATCCCTGTGTTGAACCAAGAAAACCTTGGGTTGTGATTATCTGGACGTGGGTCATACACAGCACCCAGAGCTCAGAGCTGCCTGGGAAAGGTGCCAGGCCTGGGTATTTTTCTGGCTTGGGGCTTAAGAGCAAGAATCAGGCTCACTATGTCCTGTGCAGTGGTGATGCCAGTGTTCAGCTAGAAGCCATCTCACCTTGTACAACACTCACTTTCCTATGCCCTGTAATTGATGCACCTGGATCAGTGCAGAAACTGGGCCACCTCTGGCTGAGTTTTGTCCTCAGGCCCAACTTTATCCTAATGAGTCCTGTCTGCACTCTGCAGTCCATGCCAGGGTGATATCAGGTAGGACTAGCCTCCTGGGGGGTCAGAGTTGCTGGGGAGGCATCCAGGTGTGTCACCTGATAGCACACCTTATGTTTATCAGTTTTCCTGGTCACTAGGGACATTGTACCTGGCCCAGGGCCTCACAAGTGCAGGACCTGGAGATTGGCCTTCTTGGGCAGGGACGTGTCCTGCACGGCAGATACATCAGGCCGGGAATCTCTGTTCTCAAAGGAAGGTGTAGGACGAGGAAAGGAGGCTGTGGCCAGTAGTTCAGAGCCAGGAGTTCAAGTCCCAGCGGCCACTGCCCTTTTGCTCCTGGATGCTGCTTTGTTTGTTTCTGTGTTTATTTTTTGTGGGTGTGTGGATACACATGGAGGTCAGAGGACAACTTGCACATGTTGGTTCTCTCTTTCCACCTAGGAGGCCTGGAGATTAAACTCAGTCAATCTAAGAGGACTATACCAGCTGAATCAACTAACTGGTCCCAAGATTTGGTTTTTAATACAAAATGTCACTGTTTAGTCCAGGCTTACCTAAGACTGGAAATCCTCTTGTTTTTTTGCCTTGTTAGGTTTTGTTTGTTTGTTTGATACAGGATTTGAAATAACTCAGGCTAGCCTCAGCCTTTTTTCCATTTATTTATCTATTTTCCTGTGTACATGTCTGTCTGTCTGTGTCTGCCTGTGCGAGGTGGTTAGAGGATGTGAGGAAGTCAGTTCTCTTCTACCATGTGGGTCCCGGGCATCAAGCTCCGGTTGTTAGGCTTAGTGGCAAGTGCCTTTATCTTTCAGCCATCTCCCCAGCCCCAGGCTTTCGACTCTCAATAACTTTCCTGCCTCAGCTTTCTGAGTGCTAGAATGCTGGGCATGAAGCACCATGTGAGATGCGGGCAGCATTTTCCAGGGTAGAAGGTGGGGTCCCCCAGGTCGGGCTTGGGGCCCTGAGCTTTCCTGCAGTTCTGAATGGTGGGTAGCCTCAGCCCACTTGAGCCCCTCTGACCTCCTGCAGGTATACCTGTCACTGGTCCCCATCATCAGCGGAGTCTTGCTAGCCACTGTCACAGAGCTGTCCTTCGACGTGTGGGGGCTGGTCAGCGCCCTGGCAGCCACGCTGTGCTTCTCTCTTCAGAACATCTTCTCCAAAAAGGTGTGTTGGCCCTGTCCCTGGCACAGGTTGCCTGAGTGTGGTGGCTTCAAGCAGACTGGCCAGAGCAGACCTTCCTATGCTTACTATTTGCTTGAGTCTCTGTCCCTTGTTTTGTTTTGAAAGCTAACCTTAAAGCTAACCTACTCTGCTATCTCTTGTTCCTTTTCTTTTCTAAATTTTCTTGCTACATTTTATTTATGATCCGTGTGTGTGTGTGTGTGTGCGTGTGCCTGTGTGCATGTGTGTGTGTGTTTGTGTGTGTGCAAGGGCACCTGCCATGGCCTCAGTGTACTGGTCAGAAAACAACTTACAGGAATCCTGTGGGACCTTAGCATCATGCTTGCTGAAAGTCTTTATAGGCCTTTACCCACTGACCCATCTCACTGGCCCCTCCATAGTATTTCCCACTAAACCTGGAATCCAACCTGTTCATGTCCCATGAGCCCCCTGGATCTGCCTGTGTCCCCACCACCAAGTGCTTGCGTTACAAATGTGATGCCGTGGCTAGCTTCTGTGTGTGTCCTTGTGCCTCTTTTCCTTTCCAAGCTCTTGCACTGAGTTGCGCTCATTGACCCTGACTTGTCTGGCCATGTGCATTGGCTGTTGCTGTGTGGTGTTACCTCACTGCAGAGCTCTTGTCATGACTAAGGCTCAGCACTACCTTCAGCACTGTGGGTCTGCTTGTTGGCAGTGTGGCTTGTTTCCACTTGTCTTGAAATACATTTTCTGTATTTCTTAGGACATGATGCTCAGCATGCAGCTGACTGGGGCATCCCCCTGTGGTAGACCTAAAGTCCATGGTTTATGAGTAGGATCTGTTTCTGGCATTGCCTGGTAGTGCTCAGACAGGCTAAACCAATCTAGATTCCAGTCACAGGGATTTCAGCCAGATATGAGGCACTTGCCTGTCATGAGCATATTTGGGATGAAGATGGGTTTGCTCTGAGGGCCAGACCAGCCTGAGCTACAGAGCAAGACCATATTCCAAAAACAATGCAAAGAAAAAAAAAAAAATCAGCGGGGTTGGGGTTTCAGAGTACTTGAGTCACTACACCCTACTCTACTCACCCTACAGCATGTTACTAGGTTGGTTCTGGTTTTTCTCTGTCAGCTTCTCATCCATAGGTCAGAGCGCTTTGTCTAGGCATGGCTGTGTCTTCCTTTATTAGCAAGCCAGCTGGTCTGATGCCTGAGCTCAGATGTCAGATTCCAGTCTCAGGTTGGGAACTGGAAACCCAGGCCTTATTGCTGGAGTGTCAACAGCTCTAACAAGGTGTTCTCCCCTCAGGTGTTGAGGGACTCCAGGATCCACCACCTGCGGCTGCTCAATATCCTGGGCTGCCACGCCGTGTTCTTCATGATCCCCACATGGGTTCTGGTGGACCTCTCCACCTTCCTGGTCAGCAGTGACCTGGTGAGTTGGGACTGCTGAGATGTGGGTGTGCCTTTGCCAGCTTCCTCAGCATGTGCTTGGTTGGAAGCTGTAGCCCTCTTGTTCATCCTGAGGCAGTCTTTGGGCACCTGTGCTAGTCTTTTGTGTTCCTGTAACAGAGTACCTGAGTCATAAGAAAATAGGAATGTAGCCGGGCGGTGGTGGCGCACGCCTTTAATCCCAGCACTCGGGAGGCAGAGGCAGGCGGATTTCTGAGTTCAAGGCCAGCCTGGTCTACAGAGTGAGTTCCAGGACAGCCCGGGCTATACAGAGAAACCCTGTCTCGAAAAAACAAAAAAAAAAAAAAAAAAAAAAAAAAAAAGAAAATAGGAATTTACTGGGCAGTGGTGGCACACGCCTTTAATTTCAGCATTTTGGAGGCAGAGGCAGGCGGACTTCTGAGTTCAAGGCCAGCCTGGTCTACAGAGTTAGTTCCAGGACAGCCAGGGCTGTACAGAGAAACCCTGTCTCGAAAAACCAAGAGAGAGAGAGAGAGAGAGAGAGAGAACGCGCGAGCGAGAGCGCGCGCGCGCGTGTGTGTAAGGAATCTTTAGCTCCCAGTTCTGGAGAGCAAATGTCCAGCATGGAGTGGGCTCATCTTGACCAGGAGAGTGCCACATCCTGACATGCCATGTGACCATGACAAGAGCATATGTGGAAGGGAGAAGTTGGTCTCTGAATGTCAGCCTGAGAGCCAGGGCTCCTGCTTTCCTGTATCAGTCAGCTTTCGGGCTCTGTAACCAAGTGCTTAAGGTTATTGGTTTGGGGAGAGGAAATGTTTATTTTGGCTCAGGGTTTCTGTCTTTGTGTGCTTGGCCCTGATTGCTTTGGGTCTGTGGTGGGAGCACATAGGTGACAGTGTCACTGAAGACTGGTGGAGCAGCTGTCTAGAATTGAGCTTCACTTCAGCATTTGGTCTCCTTCATTCAACAGTCTGAATCCAAGTGGGCTAAAACCCTAAACCCTGTGAGCAGCTATAGGAACTCCAGTCCTGGGAAGACGAGGCCAGCCCACTGCAGTCTCATACACAAGCACCTTACCCTCCAGTACATGTGCACACATGCACATTCATGTGTGCACACTCATGAGAACACACACAGGAGTGAGAGCACGTGCTCTTACTAGTGTAGCCCTGGTCAGTCTGGATGTAACTGTCCTCCAGGGCCTATGTGTGGGCCTCCCTCTAAAAATTCGTGGTGGTGGTGGGACCTGGTGGAGGTTCAACTTGATAGGAGGAAGTAAGAAATTGAGACCTGTCCTTGGAGGGGACCTCTCTCTTCCTGTTTTACTCTGCCTCTGCTTCCTGTTGATGAAATCACCTCTGCTAAAAGAGCCTTTTGCCAAAGCCAAGAGGTTTGGACCATATGGTCCTGAACTGTGACTTAGGGGTATCGATGACAGGACAGTGCTTTCTCTGACCTTACAAGGTCCAGGCTCCACCCAGTACCACTCACAGAGGATAAGACGAGGGTCAGGAACTCAGTCATCTTCGGCTACACAGTAAGTTTGAAGAGAGTCTGGGCTACATGAGACCCTGTTTCCAAAGAGAGCTGACTGTCAGTCACAGGACATGCCTGGCAGAGTGGCACCATTTTAGCCCAGCTCTGTGTGGAGGGACTGGGAATGATGGGAGGGTGCCTGGGAGACATAGGAACCCTGAGAGGGAACCATGAAAGTACACAGGGGATTTGAAGGAACTTGGGAATCCTGGGAATGGCTGGAAGAGAGGGTGCAGGTAAGAAGCTGAAGTCTTTTTTGCCAGGGCTGGGCTCCCAGGAGCAGAGCAGCATCCCAGGTAACCCAGCGGGCTCCTGTCCAGCAACTTGGATATGCCAATTCCCATCCCCTAGGAAGCACTGGAGTGCTTTGTTACGGGAATAGAAAGTACACCCAGTTTCTGCTCTGTGCAGTTTTTTCTTTCCCTTCCCTTTGGGGGCGTGTGTGTGTGTGTGTGTGTGTGTGTGTGTGTGTGTTCGTTCGTGTACATGTGTACACGTGTACATGCACAGTGAGCCAGCAGTGTCTCTTGTGGTATGCAGGTGGAAAACAGAATCCAGCCTCCACATCTCCCTCAGTAGCTCCCCCTTGTCTTTCAAGTAGGATCTCACTAACTTGCTAGGATGGTGGCCAAGCCCTCAAGACCCGCCAGTTTTTGTCACCCGAGCTTCCTACTTCTAGCAGTAGGGGCTCTGCGTGTATGCAGCTGCACCCACATTTTCTTCACATGGGTGCTGGGGGCTGCTCCACCTTTGGTGCTTTTGAGACAGGATCTATGTCCTGTATTAGGTAGCCTAGGGTGTCTTCAGACTCCTGATCCCCCTGCCTCCACCTCCTGAGTACTGGAATATAAAGTATGCCCTCCATGCCAGGATTGGAAGCTCAATATGATTTGGTGGACTCTGTGGATCATCCTTTTGGGACTTCCTCCAAGATCCTTCCCTTGGTGGCCAGCTGACATGCCTGCTAACCACCATGTCTGGCAAGGATCCAGCTGGGACTTGTGGCTTCCACAGGCTGGCTGAGGACTGGCAGCAGTCCAGGAGGGTGGGTGTGAGTAAGATCTGAGGAGTCTGATGGCCAGGGCCTCCCAGTGTCCTAGCTGGGCCTTTGTGTTCTCCTGATTCCTGTCTGAGGACAGGTGTGCTCTGGGGCTGTTTTCCACTCTCTAGAAGCCCTACCCACTACTGACACCTCTCACAGAAGGTGGTAGTAGTTGATGTCACCTATATCCTTGGGTTTGTCTGGTTTGATGCTTTCACTTCTGTGTTCTGTGGGGTTTGGGGCTGAAACCATAGCTTCATGCATGCTCAGAATGCTCCACCACGAAGCTTCTGTGGGGAAAGTGCTTGTTGTGCAGTTGTGAGGACAGGTTTAGACACTAGGAGGCAGGGTGGGATCCCTGCAGCACACTGTACCCTGCCACACACACAGTTTTGATGGACTTAAGAAAAATTATTAAATATTATATATTTGGGTGTTTTGCTTGCATGTATGTCCACATGCAACATGTGTGCTTGGGTGCCCTCAAAAGTCAAAAGAGGCCATTGGATCCCCTGGGACTGGTATTACAGATGATTATGACCTGTCATGAGGGTGCTGGGCATCTAACCCAGGTCCTTTGGGAGAGCAGCTAAGTGCTTTTAACTGCTGAACCATCTCTGTAGCCCTTTGGTGGCTGATTTTGCATCTCTGACTTGAGAAACGGTACTCCATCGCTGCGCCATGCAGTGGGGTAGTCAGGAAGGTTAGGGGGCATGTGTATGAAGCAGCACATGGACTGCTCATGTGCCTCTGAGGGTAAAGGTGCCTGTAGCCAAGCTTGTCACCCACCAGTCTGAATCCAGACAGGACTGCATGAGACTCTTGTTTCAAAAAACATTTAACCGCCTGCTGGGCCATGGTAATCATCTGCCTGAATATAGTTGTGCCTCTCCCCCACTGATGCTCCCTGTCCGTCTCCACAGGCCTATGTGTCTCAGTGGCCCTGGACGCTGCTGCTCTTGGCAGTTAGTGGCTTCTGCAACTTCGCACAGAATGTTATCGCCTTCAGCATTCTCAACCTCATCAGCCCACTTAGCTACTCAGTGGCCAACGCCACCAAGAGGATCATGGTCATCACTGTGTCCCTCGTCATGCTGCGCAACCCAGTGACCAGCACCAATGTGCTGGGCATGATGACTGCCATTCTGGGTGTCTTCCTGTACAACAAGGTAAGCATTGGGTGCTACCCTCCCACAGCAGGCACAGCCTCAAGGAGGGACAAGGAGCCCCAGGAAGGAGAGGGGAGGGGGTTTCTGGCTGTAAGTTCCAGAAGTACCTAACAGGGTGAGTCAGTTGTATGCACTAGACAGAACAACATGGCAGTAGGAGTCTAAGCACAGGCTACTCTAGAACTCACTATCCTCCTGCCTCCACACTCTGATCTCTAGGGTCATCGGTGCAGGGATCAGAAGCTTTCTTTGTGTCTTACTTGTTTTGAAATAGTCTTGTATAGCCCAGAGTGGCCTTTAGCTTCTGACCCCCTGTTCCACCGCCCTTGGAGTGGAATGACAGCTGTCTGTACTGGATCTGTGCCCTGGATTATGCAGTGCTGAGACGGACCCTAGAGCATAAGTCTTATAGACAGCCATAGAACCATAGCTCTTATAGTCTACCATAGAAGTGTCCCTAGTCCTTGGGTTTGGGGTGACCTCTGTATCCCTAGTCCTTGGGTTTGGGGTAACCTCTTTGCTGCTGGTATTCTTTTCTTTCCCTTCCTTCCTTTCTATTTGTTTTAGTTTGGTTTTTAAAGTCTCATGTAGCCTAGGTTGGCTTTGTACTCCTGCCCTTCCTGACTCTGCCTCTATAGGGCTGGGATAACATGCCCCCATACCCAGAGTTCCCTTGTGCTTGTTATTGCTCTCTTCACACAGACCAAGTATGATGCGAACCAGCAGGCCCGGCGCCATCTCCTTCCCATCTCCACATCAGACCTGAGCAGCAGAGAGCACTTGCGGAGCCCAATGGAAAAGCCCCACAATGGTGCACTGTTCCCCCAGCAGGGTGACTTCCAGTACCGCAATATCCTCCTCACAGACCACTTCCAATATGGCCGCCAGGGCCACCCAAACTCCTATGCTCTCAGCCGACATGATGTGTAGGCCAGGTCAGGCCTTCTGCACCCCCTTCTTGAGCCCAGCAGCTTCAGAATATTCTGGCAGCCTGACTGAGCATATGATACATGGCAGGCCATCAAGGGAGCTCTGGGTCCTGGTCCCTGATGGGCTGCAGGGTGTGACCAGAGCATCGACAGCCACAAGCCTGGGGCAGAAAAAGAGCCAGAGAGAGACCTTGATGTGCGCAGGGTGGCCCCTGGCATATTGCAGAGGTCTGGTCTGAACTTCTGGTGAAGTGACTCTGGAAGAAGTGGCATCTCTGTGACTGCAATCCTGGAAGCCAACAGGAGGTGGCATCTGGGGCATCATATAGCCCAGAGGGATGGAGGGCTGACATGGGTGGCATTACTGTCCCCACCAATGCTATAGAGTTCCAGAATGCCCCAAGGCAGTTGGCCACTTGCAGCTAGTGCTGCCCAGGGGCAGACCTACAGTGACCATCAGCCCATCAGCTGTGTCCCTCCTCTGCCATGTGGGTGCCAAAGCAGGACATAGCCCTTGGCCTGGGGGGCCCTTAGACTCTAGAGGAGCAGCTTGGCTGCTCCCCACCCTTCTGATGGCACAGAAGGCCAGGTGGTGGCGATGGCAGTTTCCTCAGAACCTAAGTTTCTCTGGGGAGCATCCATCGGCCATGGGAGCTTTGGTGCCTGGGTCCCATCATGCACTACACAATGGCTAGTCAGCAGGTGGAAACCATCTTGTCTCACTTCAAAATATGGGATGTTTGTTGCTGGAGCCAGTCCCTCCCAGCTCAGTGGTAGCAGGCAATGCCTAAGGGTACTGAAGCTGCAGCCAAAGGAGTAGGAGGAGGTATTCACACTCCAAGTACAGTGTTGCTTGTTAGTGAGGAGACCATGTGTGTGTCAGGATTTGAACTGTGTCCCAGTAAATGGGACACTAGGCAGGTCTTGGTCTTTTAGTTAGGAATCACTTTGAGGCTGGGTTGGTAGAGTGCCTGCCTAGCATGCGTGCAGCCTTAGCTTCTGTCCACAGAATGTCACATGGTGGTACAGGCCTGCCTTCCCAGCACTCTGGAAGCATATTTAGGAGGATCTGGAGGACAAGGTCCTCACCTACATAGTAGGTTCCAACCAGCCTGGGCTACAATGAGAGGCTTTCTCAGGAAAATGACCAGTTTAGGGACCTGCCCTAGTGGCACACATCTAGGGGCTGAGGCAGGAAGATGGCCATGAGTTTGAAGTCAGTCTGGGCTACATAATGAGGCTCTCTCTGATAAACAAAGTTTAGGGGCTCATCCTGGTGGCCCATACTTATGGTCTTAGGTACTCATTAGGTACCCCGTTGGTAAGCATAAGTGTGAGTTTTATTGTGGGCACAGCAGGTGAATGGTAGGAAAGGACACCAAGCTAAGCTCGGGGTATAAGTGGGTCTCAGAATATAGACCAGGCTGGACTTAAACTCATGGGCTATACCTGTCTCTGCCTCCTGAGTGCTTGGATTCTTTAAAAGCATGGGCACCATAGCCAGATGGAGTCATCCTCACTAAGCCTCCCAGGCTGACCTTTAACTCTGAGCATTTGTGTCTCCTCCATCATTAAAAACTGAGCTCACAGGTATGTCATGGCACCCCAGTCCCTAACTCCTGATTCGTTGGGTCCCTCTGCTTTTGATTACTTGGAGTTTTGTATTGAAGGTTAGTTTATTACTTAGCCTCTTGCTTGCCTAAGATGTTGCAACCCCAGCCTCTGGATAGTGTCATCTGCCTTGCTTACTGGTTTGTACCTTGGTAAGGTCTTCTGTTGGGTTTTCCTCACTGGGGAAGACTGGCCTGAGACACTTGGCACTGCGGAGGGCTCTATGGGTGACTCTGACTCAGCTCTGGACTCAGAATGAATTATGTCTTTTTGGATTACCAAGATGTTCCTGTAATTTGTGTATTGATGTTTTTCCTTTTCTAGGGAGCAAAAAGGCCCATCTCACTTTTCTTAACGGTTTATGAATTAATGAATGGGATACTTAGTTTTGTTCCAAGGCTCACAGCAAGTTTGAACACTGGAATATTGGATGAGATAGTCAGAGTAGACCAGATTCTCGGATCAAAAGACAAACAGTTGGGGCTGCAGCTCTGGCTACAGAGCTCACCTCCATGCATGAAGTCCTGGCCACTCTCAGCACCACATACAGTGTGGCAGTGCACATCTGTTGCCCCAGTACTCAGGAGGCTGAGGCAGTTAGGATCAGGACTTCAGTGTAATATCTGGCTACATTGTGAATTGGAAGTCAGCCTGGGCTATATGAGAGAACAAACAAAGCAGACTTGATCCACAATTTACCTCTGTCCAGTCAAAGTCAAGTTAGCCCTACTCCCGTGTCTTACTCCCACTACATTCATCCTCCCTCTGCAGGTCTGACCTAATCCACCTGTTAGTGTTCATATGAGGATTTTGTTGCTGCCCCACATATCCTTTGAAGTGGCTTAGCCAACACACAGATCCTGATCTAACCAGCTCCTTCATTTTACAGAAGGGGAAACTGAGGCTTAAAGTTGTGAATGTCTATCCACTATTAGAGCACTTGGAGCTTTTAGTTATTTATTTCTTTGAGATGGTATCTGCCTATTTAGCTCAGGCTGGCCACAGAATAGAAGGCACTCCTCCAGCCTTAGCCTATGTGCCTGGAGGATCTGCCATACTCAGCACCTTACTTTGTCATTTATTCTAGGGAAACCCTTGACTGAGGATAGGAGCCAGATAAATTGAGGCAGGAAAGCACTTGAAACTTGATCTGTGTATTGGGAGGACTCTGAGCAGTGGGCTCTTCATGGCCAGACCCCAAGCCCCAAATCCTCAGGTCTGAAACAGGAAACTTTGCTTTCCATTTTCGTCATCTTGAGGCTCCTGTGTCAAACTCTCCTATGGGAGTAGCTATGTTCCTGGTTGCCATTTACCAAAAATAAATGATGGTCTCCAGGGGCTTGAGTTTGGTTCTGGTTTGTCAGGGAGGGTCTTGCTCTGTGCTCCCATCAGCACAACGCAAAAGGAGTAAAAGATTGAAAACCCAAGGCTGGAAAAATGGCTTGGTTAGCCCTTGAAAGACGTATGAAAATCAGAGTTGGGATCCCCAGAACCCCCCCCCCAAAAAAAAAAAAAACAAACCTGGGCAGACCCAGCTCCACCTGCCATCTTAGTGGGAGAGTTGGATAAAGGTCCCAGGATCATGGGCAGAAACTGGCTACTGTCAGGTTCATCATGAAGCCTGCCTTATGTATAAGGTGGAGGGCCAGTGGGACAGCTAAGTAGGTAAGAACAAGTTCAATTTCTGGAACCCACTCCTCTAAGTTGTCCTCTGGCCTCCACATTTGTGTTCTGCCATGCACACATAAAAATTTTGTGTTAAGTGTGCTGGGCATGGTGGTGCACACCTCTGGTCTCAGCAGGCAGGAGGCAGAGGTGAGTGGATCTCTGAGTTTGAGGCCAACCTGGCCTACAGAGTGAGTTCAAAGACAGCCTACAGAGAGAAACCCTGTCTCGAAAAACCAAAAAGAAAAGAAAAATATAAAAGAGCAGCTAAAGAAGGACCTGATGACCGGATGCCAATCACCAGCCTCTTCATACACATCCCTCTATATATGGGTACCCACACATGCAAACAAACATGTCTGCACACATACACAAACCACATATATCTATATGTGCATGCAAGGCAAAATGACTTTTTGTCTGCCTTTATTTTTATGCCTGATTGTCTATCAATTGAAATTGAGTGGCCCTGCCTCAAGCTTTGAGTGTTTGCATGCATGTGTGTGCTTTCATGTGTGTATATACATGTGCATAAGTGTATGTTTGCTGAGGCTCCTATAGCACCTCTATGGCTTCAGCTAGCTTATGCTGCACCAGGATTCAGTTCCTGCAAGAGTCCAAGTCCAGCTACACTCCTCAAGGCCAGTCAGGGCACCCATTTCCTTAGCTAACCTCTTTTGCAGCCCAGGCAGACTTCTATTGATCCTCTTCCTCAGCCTCAGGCTGAGCTGCAAGTTTCCTCCTGTGTATTTGTAGGATGGGCCAATGAGCCCCATGGCTCCTCCTGCTTCTGCCTTCCCAGCTCTAGCATGAATATGCTTCACCACCCCTGACTTTTTATGTAGGTGCCAAAGAGTTGAACTCAGGTCCTCATGCCTTTGTAGCAAGCACTTTACCTACTGAGCCAGACCTCTATAGATAGCTGGGGTACAACAGACACCTATACATGGAGTGGAAACAAGAGATTGGCCTCAGGTGTTCTTGTGTGCCAATAGGTCTACCATCTTACACTTGAGGCAGGGCCACTCACTGAACCTGGAGCTCAATAATTGTAGCTGCAGTGTGTATGAGGCCAGTGAGCCCGTCATCCTTCAGTCTCAGCTCCCACAGCGCAGACTAACAGTCACAACCACTTCTGGCTTTAATGCGTTTAGGGGTAGAATCTAACTCTTAGCCACTCCATTTATGGAGTATGGGGGTAGGGGGTACATTGAAGATTACACATGCTATGGTGCATATGTAAGAGTCAGAAGGCTACTTATAAAAGCCAGTTCTCCCACTGTGTGAGTCCCAGGTCATCGGGCTTGGTAGCAAATGCCTCTTTACCCACTGGGCAATCTTGCTGTGTTAAGACAGGCCTCACAGAGCTCAGGCTAGCTTTGAAGTCACTGTGTATCTTCTGTCTCTGATATGGTGTGCTGGCCAATGAACTGAAGCCACACCCTTCAGTTTTAGGAGTTATGTGGTCGTCAAAACACCAGAAAGGGACCCTGGACCTCACACATGCTAGGGAAGCACTGACCCACAGCCCCAGCCCTGTAATTCTGGCTGTTTAAGTTTCCTCTGTATTTTGGAGGATTCTGTGAGCAGTCAGGGAAGCTACCACAGTGAGGGGACCAAATATGTTGCAAAGCTTTTTTCTCAGCCTTAGTGAATGAGGATTCATTCAGGCTCCCAAAGGGGCTCAGTAGGAGGTAGGCAAGAGCCTGCTGAGGAACACTAAGAAGGGGCTTAAGGGCCCTTTCCCTAGGCAGGACCTAGTTGTCCAGACTTATTAGGGAGGTGGCAAGAGACAGGGGTATGCTGTGAAATAAGCATCAAGGGGCCAGGTGTGGGGGTGTGCACCTTTAACCCCAGTGCTGGGGAGGCAGAGGCACTGTGTGGGGCTGGGAACAGATGTGTGATGCAGGCTGCTGAGGTGGCTCAGTGGCTAAAGGCACTTGTTGCCAAGCCTGATAACCTGAGGTCAATTTAGGAACAACCATGAGTCAGTCATCCTCTCATTTCTGCACATGGGCCAAAGCAGGCAACCTCCCTCACCAATAAATAAAACAGAAGAAACTTCTAAAAATAGTCGCCTTCTGAATGGTCTACTGGCCCTCTCATTGTTTTGTTTTGGTCTTAAGACAGGGTTTCTCTGTGTAATAGCTCTGGCTGTTCTAGTTTTGTAGATCAGGCTGGCCTTGCCTGCCCTGCCTTTATGCGGGAATTAAAGGTGTGTGCCACCACCACCTGACCCTATTGCTTTTTAATTTTGCGTTCTGACTCCATGTTGTTATGGTATCAGATGCCTTGGAATTGGAGCTGCATGTGTGGGTTATGAACGTGCGTGCTGGGAGTCAAACTAGGGTCTTCTACAAGAGTAGCCAGTGTTCTTAACAGTTGAGCCATCTCCCCAAAACCCCTCCCTCACTTTCATTGCTTTAAACCAGGATACCTGGGTGTCACTACTGAGGGACTGAGAAGTGGTCAGTGGTCACTGTCAAGGAGCGAAGGGTAAGTAAGCTGGGACAGGACAGAGCTATGGAGAGCTTGGGGGCAGCTGAAGGGAACTAGGTGGGTATGTAGGTGGGGATTAGTTTTATCAGTAAGTTAGCTTGGCCTAGAACCTGGTCTAAGCAGAGTGCTCAGTAGATACAGGTTTGAGCTAGAGTTGTGACCCAGCAAAGCATGGTACCCTTGATCTGAGGCAGCCTGGATACTGACAGAATCAAGACATTAAGGCCTGGGCTTTCTCAGGAAAGAAGGTAACTATGTTCTGAAAGGAGATCCTATACCATCATTAAGAATCTTCTGGAACTGTCTCAGGTGAGACTGAGGGAAACAGGTTGAGCAGATACAGACTTCGGTTTACTGTGAGCCACACAAACAGTCCCTACAAGATTACAATATTCTTTGGGGATTACACACCTATGCTATTGTTGTCTGTATTCTTTACATTGAATTCTTGGACCTGAACTCAGGTGGCCCTGCTCCCATGCCAAGCACACCCCCATTGAGCTAGCTATCTCTGCAGCTCCAAGATTAGGGCATCATAAAGGGCCTTCACAGCAGGCAAGACAGGATTTACAGGAAGGGCACAGGGATCAGGATACCTTCCAGGCTCAACTTCATTCTCCCTCCTCATATAATCTTGGTGTGGAGCTTCCAGCAGTAGGAATATCCAACGAGGCAAGATAATTAGGAAAAGTTGGAGATCCCAAGATAACAGGCTCAAAGACACAGAGGCTCACTAAGGGCTTGGTGGCTAGCACAAAGTCAGAAAGTAGATCATACCAGTGCTGTAGGCACAGTTCCAAGAGATCCTGTGCCTTCTTCCAGCTTCTTCGAGCACTGAAGTCACATGCACAAACCCACCAGACACATACATATAACTGAAATAAATCTTGTTTTCGAGACAGGGTTCCTCTGTATAGTTCTGGCACTCTTTGTAGACCAAACTGGTTTTGAACTCGAGATCAGGCTGCCACTGCCTCCCAAGTGCTGAGACTAAAGGCGTGCGCCACGATGCCCAGCAAAATATGATAAATCGGTTTTTTAAAAGGCCGATGGTATATCTCAGTGCTTGCCTAAAGTGCACCCAGTCCTGTCTTCCACCTCCAGCATCCCGAAACCCCGGTGTGGTGGTGGCACACGCCTGTCATCTCAGTACACAAGAACTAGGAGGAGGATAGGGAATACAAGATTATCTAAGGCTATATGGGGAGTTGGAGGTCAGCCTAAGCTTTCTGAGACCTAATGTCCAAAAAAGCAGGACTAGGTAATAAGTAAACAGAAGGGCTGGGGTGTCGACGCAGCTTCCGGTTCTCCTTCCGTAGAACGCGTATAGTCGCTTCAGAAGACTTGTCTTTGCACCACGTCGGTCTGAGGCCCATGTTGAGGGGCCGGGGGCCCCAATGCTCAAAATTCTTACCCAAATGGAGCCGAGCCAGGATCGTGTGATTCGCCAGAACCATCACCTGCGGATCCCGCCTTCTGGATGGTGCAAAAGGCTGTAAAAGACGCAGAGGCCCGCGAGTGCACGAGCTCGCAAGAATGCGGCAGAAACCGAAAATGCAGCCGGAGCAGCTCCACACGCTCCAGCGCGTCGGGGCACAGCGGCCGGGCCGCGCATGCGCCTCGCTAGGCCGTCGCACTTCTGAGTCCTCATGCAGTCTCTTCCCGCCCTCCTTTAGTCCTCACTTCCGGCGTTTCCCAGCGACAGCCGTAAATGGCGCGCGAAGCGTCCCGCGAGGCTGTCGTAAACGTCTCCCTTCGCGCCACTTCCGGCCGGCTTCTGCGGCCAGTGCTGGTAGGCGATCGTGAGGCTGTGGAGGACGTTGCCAGCGGCTGCAGCCATGGAGATGCCGTTGCCGCCAGACGGTGAGGCCTAGTCTTGAGCGGAGGTCGTTGGGGTCTTCTCGTGTGCCCCCGCCGGCCGGCCGTACCTCCTCGTGTTGCCGGCCCGGTGACGGAGCGCGCTGCGGCCTCGCCGCTCCTCCCTCGGCCTCTTCTTGGGTCCCTCATTCCTGGCGCGCGCTTGGCCCTAGTCAGGACCCGTACACCACCGCCTAGCTGTGGCCCGCCCCAGAGGACTCCGGCCTGGTCCCCCGGTCGTGCTTCCCCCACTGACGCCTTTTGCTCTGTTTTGCAGATCAAGAGCTTCGAAATGTCATCGACAAGCTCGCTCA